TGTCTGGACTATTAACAATTAAGTTCCTGAGTTGCTGCCCAAATCCCGTCTCTCGTGGTCTCATCGGTATACAAAACACTACGGCTCCAATCAGCATCTTCTTGATTTTTCTGTATATACCAATGGCAAAATTCCAACCGCAGTGCATAATCTCCATCCTGAAGAGCTTGAACTTTTTGTAGGTGATAGGGGTTCAAACTATTTTTGTGAATCGTGCGCCACGTAACAAAGTTGGACATTTGTCCAAGTTGGGCAGTTAATCGTCTTGTACTAATTCTCGGATTTGCTTCCACTTCGTCCAAAATTTGTTCTTCAAGGGCCACAAATTCACGTCCCTGAGCCCGACCCCTATCATCAAGAAATGCGCTAAATCTTCCGCGGTCCCTTAAATTTTGCACAGCACGTACAAAACTTTGCTCCGAGGGCGGTGGATGTCCGTCATTGGCGTTGTGATAATTTTGAATAAACCTACCTACCTTCTTGCTTGACGAGCATTTTGCATCGCTTCCCCGTAACACAAAACCATATTTGTTAATTGAATATTTGTGAGCGCCCGACCCGCCATAACATAAAATCTTTCGCAATAATTACTTATTATTATTACTAATAAAATACAAATTTTCAAACTTTCAAAATATTTATAAAAGAATAAAAACCTGAAAAAACTTGAAAAAAAATAAAAACCTGAAATCGCTAGATCACTAATTAGACCTTGTAAAAATTTGTAAACTAATGATTTTTTAAAAATCGTTTTAACATTGTGATTTAAAAACATACTTATAAAAAATATATTTAAATTTAGACACACCAGATTTAAACTTTATTCATAATTCGTAATGATTTACTGTACTTTAAGTTAATCTGGTTTAATTTATTATGGTTGGTAACACATTCTGTCATAAATTGTAGGTTATGTGCTCAAATTGTTAATATCTTAACTAAGGGAAGTGCTTTTGGGCGTTTGGATTTATTTACACAAATTGAATGTTTAACGATTAACCTGTGAACTTGTCCTAATTTCATCTGAGTAAACAGAAAGAAAAAAACCGATGAAAAAATTAATTTTATGGAGTTTTTAAATAGGTACTAATTTTTCTTATTATTGCTTAAGTTAATAAATAGCTGGATGAGTAAATAAATACAGAATGGTATTAGAGCTTTAAGGGCTTAAAACTTTTGTATTTATTGAGTTTTTATTTATATTAAGCAAGAAATTTTTTTAGTAACAATTTTTTACAACTGGCAACGTGCAGCTACTTTGTTGGTTTGTATCTATGTACTCACAGAACACAAGTGTGTAACCAGTGGCGTATCACAAAAAATATAAAAAACTTCTAATGCATATATTTTCTTTATCTTTGGAAATATATCTTTTAAAATATTTTTCCATTACACCTTATGTCAAAAGGTATTCAGTGTTTTAATATATAACATTAATTACATAACACCCTGTACAGTCTAGCTGTTATCGAAGCGGTTATATTATGTGCCGAATACCGTGGATAACATTTTATTGGATCGCACTTAAAAAAATGACGTGATCAGAAAAACCGCCGAGACACGGGTATCATTTGTTTAAGTCTATTTTCAAAATCTATAGGAATTTTTCATATGGGAGGGAAAAAAATCAAATTTGTTCGTACTGTGTTATTAGTAAAAACAGCCCAACAGTGTAAATTAGGCAAGAACGTCTCAAAACATAAATAAGCATAAACCACAACAAAATTATAAAGTTTAAAACAACTAGTTCTGATATTTGCCTAACATAAACATAATAAATCACTAAACACGTCTAAATTTTAGGCATCCCACAAAAGTAATAGTGAGCCCTATAAGAGAATAAGAAACAAAGTTAAGAGCAATTATATAGAATAAATAATATAAATGCAACTTTTAATTGTTAGAAAAGAAAAGAAAACGTAAATACAATTTCTACCACAAAATAAAGAGAACTATCTACCAATAGTACCAAATCAACACTCTTTAAACTTTAAAACCGCGAAGTGAACTGCCACTCCACCTTTCGAAGTCACGGAACCACCCACCTGAACACTGTTCATCGTGGCATGAACCTGGAAGAAACCAATTACAAGGGGACAAGGAGCCATATTCAGATAAGTTTTTAATATTTGCACTTCGGTATTCGCGTAAATAAGAATTCACCGAGCCTACGGGTGTGTTTATACCTTCCCAAGTAACAAATCCGTAGAAATCAACAAGAAAGAATCAAAGAGTTGAACAGGGTTAACGAACCCCTACATTAAATAGACCAAAGATACCGAATGCACAGGCAGTATAGGACGTGACAAGTAGTACTTAATAAACACATAACTCTTAAGTAAGTAATCAAACCATTTTGTAATCTTTGCCTTAAATTAACAAACTGGGAGACCTTCTCGAGTATAAAAAATAAATAAATAGTAGAAGCAGTAAAAATAAATACAAATGCAATTTATTAATAATTAAGAAATTGCATTTGTATTTATTTTTAATGCTTCTACTATTTATTTATTTTTTATAATATTTTATTTTATACTATTATTGTTAAATAAGAAAAGAAAACGTAAACACAAACAAGAAAACAACGAATAGTCGTTTTCAATAAATAGTTCCTACTACTTAATAGTTAAATTAAATAATTATAGGGATTGCTTGGGTGAGTAAACAAAAACTATTCTAAAAAAACTTTAAACCAAACCCAATAATGACTGTTGCATTCGGTAAAATTTGTCTAACCATTAGCGACTGCCTTCCGCTGGGACAAAGAGTCAATAACTCATTTTAAGTGTTTCTAAAAGTGTGGGGAAAGTAAAAACAACACCCCAGTGGGGCAAACAACTGCGTGCAGCAGATTCCGAATTCCAGCAGACCGGACAGAGACCCGGATGAAATACAAGACCATCAAGGATGTCCACGTAAGGTACTAACAACCCATGCCTCATTCATGAACCCCAATTAAATGGGGTCATTACTAATACCCTGGTAGAGGGGGAGTCCGGATTGTACTTAGTTTTGGGTCAGTTCAAGGCCCCCCAAAACCAACTGTTGTCCCTCCTTGTCCTACACTCCACTAGCCTAAATCGGACGTATGGTCGGCCCTGCGATAAAATTCCAGGAAAGGCCTTCACCATCGACACTGTCATCCACGACCTCCTAGGGAAGATTACCTGCCGGGGTGAAAATTCGGATCCACCAAACACAGGTAACACAGTGCAGTGGCGGGATACGTATAGAACCGAAAGGGGGTAAAATAACCCCAGAAGATCAGTGTAAGGCGTAGCCGATGGGGCCTGCCGTACGTCCTTATACTCATACTCAAAATAAAGAGAACTATCTACCGATAGTTTTCGACCTCTACACTGAAGAAACGGCTTTCGCACAGTGGGCAAACAATTGCTCACAACAGTCTCCGAATTTCAGCAGACTACAAGACAAGCAACGATAGGTCCTAACCAACCAAACAGTGGAGTAGCTAGCCTCGAGGGGCCCCGTATCAAAAATCTTGTAGGGGCTCTTATACGGGAAAAGCTGCTGGCAAAGTCTGTAAAAATTCTCAGGAATAGCTACTATTGTAAGGTTAAATTCTGACAAGTTTAAATTTTTTTAGACAGTTACTTTTAATTAATTTTTATTAATTATTCAATGCCGAAAACCATATGTTATTTATATAGACTTAGACTGCAACGCGGCACGGGTTAATATTGAGATAGGGATATGAGCCCCTGAGAGCAAGAAAATTCAAAAAATCTCAAAAGATGGACCACCTAATGTATACATAGCTTTTTATGTACAGGGAAATTTTAAAATTTGGTCTGGTTTTAGACATTTACCCTTCTTTAACATCTTTTAAAAGGTTTCTTTTAAAATAAAGGCAAGTCATTTGAAATAATTGTAATGCTAGTATTAATTTTTAATTTGCTATTAATATAACCTATGATAATAACACGCAAAGCAGACTCAGTATGCGGCGCAGAGCACAGAACAATATGCACAGACTGCGCCGCATAGCGGAAAGGTGCAGGCATAAACAATTCGTATGAGTTCACGGCCTCGTTGGAACAGGAGGGTATTCAGGAAAATTTTAATTTAATAAATCGAAGTATAAACAATTAAATAATAATATTATTTATTTATTTAATTTCATGTATCAATTTTTTTAACATGTGAGTAATATGTTTTTTTCTTACGCATGTCGAAGCCAATCGGGGGCCCCTCCTAGCCGGGGGCCCCGTATCATTGATACGGCTGATACCACGGCAGCTACGCCACTGAAACCAAACCCCATTCACGAACCCCAAATGCGTTGTAAGGGATGGAACAAAAATACTATTTCACTTCGCAAATAACAAAATTACCTAGTCTAGCGGAAGCTTGCGATGCTTGGATAGATCAGCAGCAATTTTGGTTAAAGACCTATAGAATTTATATAAAATGAAGACTCCCTAAAATAGTATATCAAAGCGGAATAGGATTCGTCTGAAGAGAACAAATGAAATGCCGCACAAATCTGAAAACCGATGTGGTTTATGGAATCTTTTTTTGTGACCGAAAATATAAAACCATTGTTCGAAAAAAAAACAGACAATGTAAGTAGAAACCGAAGTTCAACGTATGGTGTTGGTATCTGAACCAGGCTCAACTTACCTCAGGAAGCATTGGTAAATTACTTAAAACTTAAGGTAAATTACTTAAAACTTAAGTTAAGTTAAGTTAATTACCTGTGGTTTTTTTTTGAGAAAATAGAAGTTAATCTGTCTGTAGTTGAAAAAGTTTAAACTTTTGCGAAAAAGAAAATCTAAGCCCAATATCTTCAAGAGCTCTGGGTTGTTTTACTCAAAAACAAGCAGAGCTGCAGAAATTTTGACGTGGACTTTTTGGTCACATAAATGTGTACATTATGTCAACGTATCAAACCGTATAGCTCCCAAATTAAGCAACTTCGTACTAAGGTAAGTTTGCTTGGATCTACTTAGATCTACGAATGCTTTTTAAAAACTTACTTTCGACTCAAGCTCGACGTTAGGACTACGGAGTCCCCGTAAATATCCAACACGCAAATATTAACACTTCCAGTATCTGGTGGTGGAAAGTTACCAGCTCCGTAGTAAGTCGGTTTTTTGCAGGTACGATCGTCGAAAATCTTCTTTTGAGTGGCCTTGGCGAATTCTTCGGATGTCAGATTTTCTTTCGCCTTGAAAATGATAATTTTGATGTACAAGTTGCTAGAAAACTGAAGGTAACAACCTCTCTGATTAAATAAGGATCGTCCCCTAGCCAAGTCTTAAGGCCGTACGCATGTTTAAAAGCTTCGATTATTCTCTGCCAGTTCTTGTAAGAGTTCACGTTTTCGTCTATGAATCCGTTCAAAACGTTAAAAATAAACGTTAGTAATAATCCGCTACCAGGTTCAGAGGATGTGTACATCGTTTCCCCCTTGAGAAGAGTTGAAGTGACAGGATCTGTCCATCTGGGACTACAACATATTACCTATAATGCTGGGCGGTTTTGCACAAATTAATTAATTTAATTAATAAAAAATCCTACGATTTTTTATCGATTATAGAGTTCTGAAACACACATAGTTGGCCACGTGGACCGTGGATGGGGCTGATTACGTTTAGTTCACACATGGCCACCCGGCTCTGATGAGGTGCAAAAGTGATAAACCAAGATCGATTAAAACTATAAACAAATAAGTTACCTACGCGTAGTGAGCCATGTCTTCTTCATCTATAATCCCGTTTATATCCTTGACAAAGTCCTTCACAAGACTGCCAGTGTAAAGAGCATCAGCTCCTTCATCAGCTATGACCCTTAAAGTTTTTGCATATGTTGGATACTTAATTTTTTCGCCCTCCTTATAGGGTTCGCCGTGTTTGGGACTTATAAAAATGTTCCTGCAAAAAGTTGTCCACTATAGCTGTCTTACTGACACTGTAAAGTTCTACCTCAGCGCCTCATTTTTCTTGATAGTTATCTCATTTTCCCTCAAATCAATTTCAAAAAATTTAGTTACATACACCCCTTCTTCACACAGTTTGATCGTGGGTTCAATCAATTCCGACCAAGACAACTTCCCGTATTTTTTGTGCGCTGCTTCAAGACCTCGTAACTGTCCTGGCACGGCAACAGCCAAAGGACCTTGATAAATAAAATACGTATTTACACAACATATGCTAACTTGAGGTTTAAAATTTTACCAAATCTGGATAAAATCTGATTGGGGAACATCCTTTTCGTCGCTTTTTTTGGCGCTTCCTCTCTGGCGTCTAAACATTCAGCATCTAGGAAAATTTGAATGAATATTTAATTTTTGTATATATTCTTGAGTATCTGTTTCCTCCACTTTATCAGATTGGCGAAGAGGTGGACGCACCCAGTCGCCGCCATATTGACTATTTATATTTTGACGTGAGTTGTTTTTTAAGCTATTTTAAAGTTTTGTAAATGTAAAAAATGTCTACCTGCCTAAAACAATGCAAAAAAAAACCTGGAAATCCAATACATATTCTTAGTATGGGCTTGAAAAAATTGATGTTAAGGATAATAAGTAGATTTATTTTAAAAATAATTAAATAGCAAAAGTTTTTTTAGAGCCACTTTTCTTTTGTACACACAGATTATCTGTGACAGATATACAAATAAAAAATAATTTAGGTTAGTTGGATCGAAAAAAAAACTACATTCTTATAAAAAAGTCTTTAAAAGAAATTAAAATAAAATTGGAAAAAACAATGTAAATCATTGTCAGTCTCGTCTTAGCACTTGAAGTATAAGGACGCGCTACGGTCGTTAACGAGATCCCTCCTAAACAGTGTAAACCAGCGTAACTCAAAATGCGGCCCGCGGGCCGCATGCGGCCTGCCGACCCTTTCTTTGCGGCCCAAAGCCTAGCCACAGTAATTTTTAGATAAAAAAAATGCCCAATTAATGTAAAACACTTTTTTTACACAGCCTTGTGAGATAAAGAAGGGCAATATTTTTTCTGTAATATGACCAGATTTTTATTGCTCGTGGACCGGCCAAGTACAGTGTAATCTTTCCAACTTTGACTGTGACGAGTTTAAAACACGGAGTTAGACGAGCCCCTTTAATACGTTTTTGTAAGAAATGGTGGGGATTTAAAGTCGCGGGACGCGAGTAGGTAAACACTCCCTAACAGTTATTTGTTAGTAATCTTGCCACGCAGATATAAATGTATAAATGTATTGAATTTAAAACCGATTCAAATATTGGAGCAATTTAGAAAGAATTTTAAAAAGTATTAAGGTGTACCTGGTGCCCGATAACTTTGAAACGCTGAAATGAAATATTGGACGCAATCTAAGGAAAGGGAGCTAGCGTCCAAAAAATGATCATTCGAAAGGTCCAGATGGAATCGACATGGTTATTATTTTTTGAAGTCGAGCTTTACTACACAAACGCCTATGCCGCCCGAACTTCAATCGCCTTATGTAACATTTGATTTTTGGATGCTAGGTTTGTTTTTTCGGATCACGTCACATATGCAATGCGCAGGTACAGATGTCGGCTAACTGATTCACACCTTCACGACGTGTTAAGAGTAGCATGTAGCCGGATTTATCCAAAATTGTCAAAAGTTGTCCACAATTTCAATAATCAAGATGTCATTAATTTTGAAATAAATTATAAAGTTTAAATGTTGAGTTTTATTGTAATAAAGGTCGTTGCGGCCCGCCTGATGTAGCAGTCATACATATTTGGCCCAAGAAAAAAAAGTTTGTGAGAGGCTGGTGTAAACGATACAAACGCAAGTACCAAAAAAGAATCTAAGAATTCGGCAATATCGGATACAAGCGATTCAAAAACCAATAAAACAAATAATAAAAATTAATAAATAAAAAAACAATAAGTGCGAAAAGTGCGAAAAGTGTAGGTGGCCCCCGGTTAAGCCACACAGTTTGATAACGTCGTAAAAGTTTGCGAGTGAATAAGTGATTAAGGCTAGGTCACATCGACAAGCAAACCGGACACCTAAGAGATCGCCACAATCAACGCGTGGAGTCCACCACGCCGCGTGGTCAAGGAACAACGGACAGCCTGTTAAAGACAAAGCATCAGGATTTCAAGCCTAATTAATCCAACTAAGTAATTTTTCTAATTGCATGTCTTAATAACAATACCAATTGGACGGCATTCTGCAGAATGGGACCAACCCACACCATGATAAAACTGAGAAAAAAGCTATCAAAGATTTTAATAATTTTAAAATTACCTGTTAATTTTATGCCGATTTTGGACTTACGGAGGTTTAAGGGATATAATTTAATAATTTGGGGTGACGAAAAAAATGGGCTTTTGTTGGTTGGTTCCTTTCTGCAATTTATGAAAACCACTATCTGATGTATGTATGTATTTAAAGAAAAGCGACAATTATTTATTTCCAAACAAAATACAAGTGATATTACTATTATAATGGTAATATGAATTAATTTTGATTCTATTTGAAATTCGTCCACATCATCTTCCAACCCCACCTCATCTTGTAAGCTTCAAAAAAAATGCATCAAGACTTTATATTTTGCAGAAGCAGGAAATCTTTAAAGACTTTGGTAGTGGGTCTACCAGCCTGCTTTTTTACAAAAAAGATCCAACCCGCTTGGAGATATTCTACAGATCCTAATTCTGGATTAGTAATCCACACTATTATTGAATGTTGGTTGGTTCAATGATTAATAGATTTCACTACAATTGCATTTTGGCTATGACCTATTTTGCAGATAAATTATACATACTTAATTAGTTCATAGGCTAAATATCTCGATTTTTTTGGTTTTGTGGGTTGGTTCCTTTCTGCAGAAAGACGTCCAATTCTATTCTAAAAAATCTAAACATAAAACGTAATACTTCGCAACGTATACATATCATAAATTTCCAAGTACTAAGTAAACACTAATTAAACAATAAAACAAATAAAGAATATACAAGGTCGGTAGCCGATACTCGGCATGTGGAATATCCACGAAGACAGAGGGCACTTACGGCGGGTTGGGGCGTTCAATACTTCGGTACTGAAGACAAGATTCAGTATATCACAGGGGGGCAATCAATTCTAAAGAGGTTACCAGGAACCGGAAACTGACTCGGACAGAAACGTTCAGAAGTACACCAACTAGGACAGATTCTAGCAGCGTACTAACACTTCTACCCCTATTCCTAAATCCCAATTGAATAGGGTTATACTAAAGCCCGGGTTGAGGAGGATTCCGGATTGTACTTAGTTTTGGGTCAGTTCAATGTCCTCCAAAAACCATGTTTTACCCTCCTTGTCCCGCTCTCCACTAGCCTAAACTGGACTTATGGCCTGACCCGGCGACAAAAATCCGGGAGTGGCCTTGACCATCGACACTGTCATCCACGACCTCCTAGGGTAGATCTACCAGCCGGCGTAAAAACTTCGGATCCAACAAACACAGGTAATGCTGTTCAGGGGCGGGATACGTAGGAGAACGGAAAGGGGGTAAAATAACCCTGGGAGATTAGTACTAACACGTGTAAGGTAATGTCGATGAGGCCTGCCATACGTTCCCATACTCATACTCACTCATACTAAAAAACAATGTAAATCATAGTTCTTTTTACAGTGTACAAGAAATAGGACAAATCCAGGAGGCATAATATGATCTTTGAAGACAGACCTTAACATAAACTCAAGTACCTACCTACTGCAGTGTAAGAAATTAAAATAAAATTTAAAAAACAAAATTAATCAAATTAATATTTTTGCATTGTGCAAAAAATGTGCCAAGATGATCTTCAAGGACAGTCCATAACAGAAAATCAAACTGCAGCAGACTGCTGATATATCAGCAGTCTGCGGGCCATTTCATTATAATGAAATGGCCTGCAAAAGCGTTAGAAAACCATACCATAATATAATATTTTTCTAAAGTTTAGTTTGTTTTATTCAATGTTGGCTGAGCCAACTTGGCTCCATGGTGGCCAATTGCCCAAATTGCAATTATTTGTAAACACAATTTTGTAATAAATAAATTAAGAAAAAATGTGTTGTTTACATTTTTCTTGCAATGTTAATGTTGTAACTTGACACATTTCATTTCATTCTTTATATTTGCTTTAAAACAGGATATTTTATTTTATTGAAAACAATTGACTTATAAGTGGCTTTAAAACAAGATATTTTATTTGAAAGCCCATTATTTAAAACATTTAACCTAAAAACTTAAATTAAATTTTTCGTAGCACTTTTTTCATATATTTAATTTGGTATTTAGTAAATATTATTTACTTTAAAACAATATATTTTATTTGAATGAAAAACCATATAAAATAGTTATTTTTCACTAATAATATTTTCTTGAAATGTTAATGTTGTAACTTGGATCGTTTTTTACGTGTGATCTTCAAACTATTCAACAATTTAATCTAAAAATCGAATAATTTGATGGAAATTTGAATGAATTTCATAAGAGATAATATTTAAATTTAAAATAGGTATCAATAAAATTCAAAGGCGGGAATGAACTAAGATGGCGGTAACTGGGTGGTGCGCAAAGTGAACCAAAATTCGTACTACTGAAGAACATACCTTGTTTTCTTGTACTATGAATTAGTTAAATTAACTTATTTGGTCTAAGGCAGACCCACTTACTTCCTTGTCTGTGGGTGTGCACTGTCATAAAAAATCCACCACCAAGTCCAGTGGTTGACGGCATGGCTACACTTTCGCAAAAAGCCGTGGCTATAGCGCCATCTACAGCAGAACCACCTTTCTGTATAATTTTTCTAAAATAAATAAATAAATAATACAACCAAACGGTTTTTCTTTATCGTGTACCCTCCAATTTCTGCACATTCATATCCATTCGCTACCACAGCTCCTCTGGGTAATTTTGAATGCGCGAAAAAATAATACAACAACGCGAATAAGAACAAAAGTCCAGCTAAAATGGCAGTTGTACAAGAACTAAAAGGCCACCAGGATCTGAAAAGATGTCGAGGGGTGTTAGATTCAACTTAATGGAGGCCAATATTTTTAATCCTCACCTATCACTGCACTCATTTTTTCTCTCACATCTACATCCACACGCGGCCATGATTTTTAAACTAATAATTTTGAATCGTATTCAGAAAATATTTTTTGTGTGTTAAATGAAATATTATGACATAACTGTGTATTTATTTGTCAATTTGGAATTTGACTTATTTCATTATGTTGGTATGAAACAGTACCTATTTTATTAATATGGGGAAAAAATTACAAAAATAACCTTTCTTTTTTCGAAAACATCAAAATGATTCTATCAAATAGGCCAGTTTGGTAGGCAACCTAGTTAACAAGAAATTTTTTTTCTTTGATTGATCTTTATAACGACATTAATTTGCTTTAACTTAAAATATAACATTCGGAATAATAATAATTATCATTAAAAAGTTTTCCGATGTCTAACATTTTAAATTTCGCTTCACAGAACCAAATATTAGAAAGAGCAGAACTCACAGCAGGGTTGCCAATGGTACGGTCCTGACCGTACTTTTACGGTATTTTGATTTAAATTACGGTTTACGGTCCAACCTAAGGACCGTACCCCCAAAAGTACGGTATTTTAAGGAAAAAATATCAAAACAGAAACTATTAAATTTTCCATAATTTTATTTAATTAAAGCGATTTAAAAATATTATGATTTTGTCTGACTGTAGCGCCATCTCTAGGGCATTTAATGATTAAATGCCCTAGAGATGGCGCTAAATTTTAATCTACATATAGTAGTGTTCTGTAAATTATAACTTCTTTCTTCCCAGTTTCTAATAACTGCCGCTAGTGTTAAACTCATATCAAACTTGTTTCGCGGTATTCCCAGCGTTCGTTTATTTCTGTAAAGTTATAATTTGTTATTAAAAACCGATTGAAACATGTCCAGTGATAGTGATGATAGTACTACTAGCAAGGTTTGTCCTAGCAAAAAAAATCCGGGCATAAGAAACAGGTAAATAGGTTTGGACTAAATATTTATAAATATTTTTATAAACGTTTGTTGATTTGATATAGAAATTTCGGCAGGAATGGCTTAAAAATCCAGATTACCAAGCATGGTTGTGACCAGTAGAAGATTATATAATTATGAATTGGAATTGTGATTTTGAAAATTTTAAAATCACAATAGTTGTGATTTTGAATTTTCAAAATCACAATTTCAATTCATAATCATCATAATAATTATTATTATAAATTATGATAATTATGAATTATAATTCATACATTCAATACATTTTTTATTTTATCTATATATTTAATAAATATTATTTATGGTTTTGTGAACAAATTTTACAAAATTAAATATTTTAAAAATTATGCTTGTTTTGCTGACGTCATATGTGAAAATGCGAAAGTACGGTCCTGTTTTGAAAAGTACGGTCATTTTTTAGCCGCCGGTACGGTTTTGTTATTTACTACAGTTGGCAACCCTGCACAGAACTGTCATTTCTGTCAAATGTCAAGCGCATGTGTTTTTTGCGTGGAATATCGCCGAGTTATTTTCAACAAAAGCAACACAAACTACGTAAATTTATTGATTGAAAAACGTTGAAAACCACCCGAAAATGAGTACGATTCTAGAAAAAATCTCGGCCATCGAGTCGGAAGTAAGTAATTTGACTTAAGCGGAAAAATGCAATCCTAACCTAACTTCTTGTAGATGGCTCGTACCCAAAAGAATAAAGCAACAGCTGGACATTTGGGGTTGCTGAAGGCGCGTCTGGCTAAACTCAGGCGCGAGTTAATTACCCCCAAAGGGGGCGGCGGAGGTGCAGGGGAGGGTTTTGATGTTGCCAAAACTGGGGATGCTAGAGTTGGTTTTGTGGGTTTTCCATCAGTGGGGAAAAGTACCCTGTTGAGTAATTTGGCTGGTGTGTACTCCGAGGTTGCCTCATATGAGTTTACAACATTGACGACTGTCCCTGGTTGTATTAAATATAAGGGAGCTAAAATACAGGTTAGTACCTATGGAGAGAATTTTTGAAAAATTGGCTTTAAAGTGTAATATTAAATTAAGTTATATTAGGACATCTACTAACTTAAGAATAATGCCTTAATATTAATCCTTTTGTTTATAATTATAATGTAAAAGGCTTTTTATGTTAAAAAATATTTAAGAACGTCAAAATCACAACTTAAAATGTTAAAAACACATTTTGGAATTGTACAAACTTTTTTTTAGAATTTCAGAACCACAAAAATGTAAAAACCATATTTTGAATGTCAAAAACATACATAGGTATAAGAAAAAAATAAAACAAGACATTCAAACCTAAATTTTAAATTTAGGAATTTGATTTACAACTACAACACTAGAAATGAGGGAAAAATAGACACACCTCTTTGCAAATCTCGCCATGGTCTCAGGTCAATCTATTGCAAGGACTGGCTTTTAAACAAGATTTAAGAACTTTTCTGGGCTTTTTGTGATATACTATATTCTAGTCAATTTTCCTTTTTTTAATTTTTTTGTTTTTATTTCATGAACTGAATTGATGTACCTGAATATTGTAATAATAAATGTTTGTGATATGTATTGTTCCATGTAAAACTCTATACACTTGTAAAACTCATGTACCTGAATATTGTTATATATATATATATATATATACTTGTAAAACTCTAAGGGGATATCCCTCTTTAAACTTGTAGTTTCTGGGAATGTAAAAAAGAATTTGATTTGATTTATCAAACTTGCTTAAAAATGTCTACAATACATTTTAAACGTTAAAACAGTTAAAAAAAATATGAATGACATTATCATAGGTAGATATTTTAAAGTTGAAATGCATTTTAGAATAGCAAAATTATGTTTAAAAATTAGTGTCGTCACTGAAAAAAAACAGTCTTGTTTTTTTTCAAAAAAAAATGTTTTTTTTTTAGAAAAAAAACAGAGGTCCTTGTTTTTTTTCAAAAAAAATGTTTTTTTCAAAAAAATGGTTAAAAATACTCAAATTATGTTAAGTGACAGGATTTTCGAAATGTCACTGCTGAGGAAAGAATTTTTGGCACATTCTGTCCCTAGAAGATTATTAAATACTAATTATAGTTTCTTACTTACCATTAGTAATATTCTTAAACAAATTGTTTAACGTTGTTGGCTTTCACCCTGAGCCTTTTCTTTTCGGCATTTCTACCAACTATGCATCAACCTATAAAGCTGCAGGTCTTAACTCTTCTATTATAATACCGTATAGACTATACGATATGCTGAGTCAGCATTGCCGACAGCGAGGCGCCCTTTTACCATACGTGGGTGAGGATGAAAAAAAAAACAACTTTTGTTTTTTTTCAGTGAAAAAAAACATGTTTTTTTTCACGTGTTTTTTTTCAACTGAAAAAAACGTTTTTTTTTACAACACTATTAAAAATTAAGAATGTTAAAAACAAATATAGGAATTTTAAAACTATTAGAAGTTTAAGTATGTCAAAACTCATTACAAAATGTTAATGCCAAAATTTAGAATGTCAAAACAATTTTAAAGCTAAAATCATATTTAAAAATGTCAAACTTGCTTTAAAATGCCCAGACATAAGTACCAACTTCAAAAACAAAATTTACTTTGTCATTTTATTATATTATATATTAAAAAACCGCCAATTTTCTAACTGATTTTATAATTATCTTTTACTTTAATACAAAAGGCACTATATAAATATATGTAACACAAAAACTTAAAATAAAGTCGCTTTTGACAGTGGCAGTGACATTTCTATATGCAGTGTTATTTTAAATCTTAAAATGAGTTCTGTGAAACGAATGAGGTTCACTACAAAAATAAATTATGGCAGTCACCTCCTAAGTAAGATTTGACATCAAGACATTTTAAATGTCAAAAACACGTCAAAAGAATGTCAAAACTATATTTAAAAATACATGTTTTAGTATGTTTACCTCCTAACTAATCCAAACAAAGTCCCAAAGTAAAAAATTGTGATCCTCCCATTTTAATCTTTTGAGCATTAATTAGCCAACAACCCAACACAATCACTGGCAATTTTTTAGTTACTGGACTTGCCTGGGATCATTGAGGGCGCCAAAGACGGTAAAGGTAGGGGTCGGCAGGTAATCGCCGTGGCGAGAACCTGCAGCCTCATATTTTTATGCCTGGACGTGCTGAAACCTCTGGTGCACAAAAAACTCATCGAACACGAATTGGAAGGTTTCGGCTTGAGGTTGAACAAGCAACCGCCCAACATCTACTTCAAGAAAAAAGACAAAGGCGGCGTGAATCTGAATTGCATGGTCACGCAGTCGGAATTGGACTTGGATACCGTTAAATCCATTTTATCCGAGTACAAGATCCACAACGCTGACGTCACGCTGAAATATGACGCTACAAGCGACGATCTCATCGATGTTATTGAAGGAAATCGTGTCTATGTTCCCTGCATTTACATTTTGAACAAAATTGGTAATTATAATGCTCTTAATAATAATAACCCTATTGTAAATGACCAATAGAATCCAATAAAAAATAAGTAATTGGTTTGAATTGGTTTGAAATGTGTTTTGACGCTATGAATTCATCCCAGTTGCATTCCTACTGGTAAGTTCCAATGAAGTCAGCTGCTTGGATTGGAATATACCAATGCTACCATGCCTATGCTTGTCTCTATTGGCTAAATCCAATAGAAATGCACATGGAATGAATTGGTAATTCATAGCGCCAAACCCATTCCAACCAATTAATATTTTTAAATTTGGATTAGAAAATACCTACCAGTTTATTTTTCATTCAAAAATAATTTTAGATCCCAGAAGGATAACCGGGTAAAAACCAGAATTCATTTTTCACAGAAGAGAAAAAATTTATTGTTACTGAGTAATTTTATTTCTTTATTTTTTTTGTGATATATGTATGTATTGATACATTTAACTTACTATCACAAAAAAAGTAATAAAAAAGTAAATAAAATTTCTGGGTTATAATCATTTTTTTGTCTTTCTTGCAATGTTTGTAGGCGTGGTCGAAGTCGATATTGTTTATGTCAATTTTTTTTATTTTGTCCGCTGTGACAACCATTCTTACGCCATCGTCCCTAAACCTTACACATATAAACATTTTTTTAAGATATAAGTATACTACTATCACTAGGCACTTAACATAGAAATCGACTAATAAAAAAAGCCGCTATTAAATGGCGTCCAAAGACTTGTTTGTGTTGTTTTTTCTTATGATGGCGTCTCAACCTAGTTGGTTTTGCGCAGCTACACGAGAGCCCTCTTGCGATATTTGTATTGTATTGGGAATAACCAATTAGCAGATTTTTCGAATCTTACACTGGGAATGCCCAATTGAATTCAATTGGAAATTACCTATAGGTAGCTTTATTGATAGAGTTATTTATAGATACAAATTTACCCTAAAGTTGTACATTGCTATACAGGGTGTCCAAAATGTGATGGGATAGTATTGCTATCTCGGTAACGGTTATAGTTGGAATAGGGCATCAAGAGTTCAAAAGTTGCGTAATTACATGCCTTTTAATATGGCATAGAAGATTGCAAAAAAAATCAGCGGTTCTCAAAATATTAAAAAAAATATAAAAATCGGTTAAAACTTATTATCGCTATAACTTTTTTATTTCTAAGAATTTTAAAATACTGAAATGTTTACATTAAAACATACAAAATTACATACATTTTGATCCAATTTGTGTATTTTTACGCCAACTAGATTTTGAGATACGGCTACTATCTTTTGATTTTGCTATGGCCGCCATATTGGATTTTAGCATCAAAAATTTGAAAAAAAATTAAAGATTTTAACTTTCTATCATACATGGTACTTTAGACAAAAATAAACCCATTAAAATCAACTTTTTATTTTTAACACACTAACTGTCAAGTTGTCATAAAAAGAAACAATAAAACAATAAACAACAACAACTATAAAAATATCAAAATTAACAGAGTAGTAAATAATAAAAGACAAAACAACAAATTTACTACAAAAAGTGTTCAAAATGACCACCATTGTTTAATACACATCTGTGTGCTCTCATGGTCAAATTTTTTTGAATATTTTTCAAAATGGTCGGAGTAATTTTATCACACGCCTCCCTAATTTTAAGTTTTAAATCATTTACATCACGGGGCGTCGTCTTATAAACATTATCTTTAATAATTCCCCATATGGAAAAATCCATAGGGGTTAGGTCTGGAGACCTGGCCGGCCAATTTATGGGTCCATAATTACCAATCCAACAATTTTGTTTAAACGTACTTAACAATTCTGTAACACGCCTATCTCGATGTGCTGGTGCACCATCCTGTTGGAAGTATTTAAAATTGTTTAAGACACTTAGGGGAAGGTCATCCAAGAGGTCCGGTAGGGTATTTCTTAGCATATCCAAATATCTTTCCCCTGTTAAATGCTCCTCAAAAAAGATAGGCCCCACTACACTGGAATCCAATACTCCGAGCCAAACATTTATACCGAACCTCTCCTGAAATGCAGATTCTCGGTGCAAATGTTCATTTTCTTGGGTCCAGCGATAGTGGATGTTTCTATTAAACCATCCGTTATTACAGAATCTGCTTTCGTCGCTCCACAGATTTTTTTTTAGCATGGTTGCATCTTCTCGCTTTTTTCTTAATAACCACCGACAAAAAATGTTTCTTTTATTATAATCCACTGGCCTCAAATGTTGTACTTTCCTGTAGCGATAAGGTCTGTACTTGTGTCTTTTTAAAATTTTTCTTGACGACATTTTTTTGACACCTGTTTCTTTTTCGATTTCCCAAACCTCATTTTGATTCACATTTTTAAAATGCACGTAGCCTTAAATAAATTCCACAACGTAAATTTTAAAATTTATTAATTTTATTTATAAAATATTACCCAAGACATTAGTTTCCTCTTCACCTCCTTCTTCTGTTACAGTTGGTTTCCTTTTTTTTGGCTTTTCAAACATTCCAAGTTCGCGCAAATTTTTTTCCAAGCGTGCAAATATTTTTGTGTCAGGTACTTGTTTTTCGGGATACATGTTAGCGTATGTTTCAGCAGCATTTTTTGCATTTCGAAATGCTCTTGCATAAAAAAAAGCATATCGACTTTTTCTTCATTAGTGTACTTCATTTTTATGCACCTTATAAGAAAATTTTGAGCACCTTAATTGACTTAATTAACTTGACAAGCATAAACGTCATTTGGACCTGGACAATTGGATTGTTTCTTTTCATGGCAACTTGATAGTTAATGTAAATAATAATAATAAAAAGTTTATTTTTGGGTAAAGTACCATGTATGATACATGGTTAAAATCTTTGAAATTTTTTCAATTTTTTCATGCAAAAATCCAATATGGCCGCCATAGGAAAAACAAAAGATAGTGGCCATATCTCAGAATCTAGTAGGCGTAAAAATACACAAAATGGGTCAATCCAGTATCTACGGTATTTTTCAAATACCTCAGGATTCTTTTGCCTGCAGTCCACAGAGCTTGATTTGGCTTGTCCAAAAATCGACTAAGATAGGACACTGCATACAGAATATCTGGTCTGGAAGTGCACGCCAAGTACATTAGCGATCCAATTAACTTCCTGTACGGAACATCAATGGTTTCACTTAATTTTTCTGCTTGAAATCCTGTTATCATAGGTGTAGACACCCCTTTACAATCTGTCATTTCAAATTCTTGCAAAATTTTATTTATATACTTTTTCTGAGTTATTCCTATGGATTTAGAAGTTCTTGATATCTCCATTCCAATGAATCTTTTAATTTCACCCAAATCTTTTGCATTTAGTTTATTTTTCAAATTTTCTACCACATCTTGCGTGCAAATATTTTTGTGTCAGGTACCTGTTTTTCGGGATACAAGTTAGCGTATGTTTCAGCAGCATTTTTTGCATTTCGAAATGCTCTTGCATAAAAAAAGCATATCGACTTTTTCTTCATTAGTGTACTTCATTTTTATGCACCTTATAAGGAAATTTTGAGCACCTTAATTGACTTAATTAACTTGACAAGCATAAACGTCATTTGGACCTGGACAATTGGATTGTTTCTTTTCATGGCAACTTGATAGTAAATGTAAATAATAATAATAAAAAGTTTATTTTTGGGTAAAGTACCATGTATGATACATGGTTAAAATCTTTGAAATTTTTTCAATTTTTTCATGCAAAAATCCAATATGGCCGCCATAGGAAAAACAAAAGATAGTGGCCATATCTCAGAATCTAGTAGGCGTAAAAATACACAAAATGGGTCAATCCAGTATCTACGGTATTTTTCAAATACCTCAGGATTCTTTTGCCTGCAGTCCACAGAGCTTGATTTGGCTTGTCCAAAAATCGACTAAGATAGGACACTGCATACAGAATATCTGGTCTGGAAGTGCACGCCAAGTACATTAGCGATCCAATTAACTTCCTGTACGGAACATCAATGATTTCACTTAATTTTTCTGCTTGAAATCCTGTTATCATAGGTGTAGACACCCCTTTACAATCTGTCATTTCAAATTCTTGCAAAATTTTATTTATATACTTTTTCTGAGTTATTCCTATGGATTTAGAAGTTCTTGATATCTCCATTCCAATTAATCTTTTAATTTCACCCAAATCTTTTGCATTTAGTTTATTTTTCAAATTTTCTACCACATCTTGTATTTTATTTTTGTCACCTGTGACAATTAAATCATTTACAAAGACTCAAATCTTCTTTAGTGTAAAGGCAGAAATCATACTTTGATCTTTCAAATCCTAAGTCTTTCATTATTTCATTAAATTTGTTATTCCAACACTTTGGACTCTCCTTTAGTCCATACAAAGCTCTGTTAACTTTTAAAACCTTATTCTTGTCTTCGTTTACACCGTCTGGTACTTTTATATATACTTCAGATTCTAGTTTTCCATTTAGGAATGCACTTGGAATGTCTAATTGTCGAATACTACAATTGTGTTGTAGAGCATGTACAAGGAATGCTCTAATCGTCGACAATCTGGCAACTGGTGCATACATAGGAGTAAAATCGTTTTCCTTAATCTGAAAACCTTTGGCTACCAGCCGAGCTTTCTTAGTACTGTCTTCCTTTATTCGAAATACCCATCTCGTATCTATTGCAGACCTATTTTGTGGAATATTACACAGAGTCCAAGTTTCGAGATTTTTTAGAGATTTCAATTTATTTTTGATAGCTTCTTGCCATTCAGAACTGTTCTGAGCCTCCAAAAATGTTTGACGATGCTCCTGTGACTCCAAATATGTAGAATAAATCTCATAATTTTCAAGATATTGAGGTTTATGTACCTCTCTACCAGTTCTTGTCACAACAGGCTCTGCCTGTTCTATCTCCCTCTGAATTTCTTCTGTTTCCCTATTGTCTTCATTTTGATCAGAACTATGTTCATAAATATTATCATTTTCCTGCTCTGGATTTTCTTGACTTCCCTCTGACCATATCATTACTTTGTTTTCTTTTTTTTCTGTCAATTTTTCTTTGATATTTCTTTCCTTTCCTCCTTCAAAGAATAAAAATAATTTTCTTAGATTCTGGATCAATCAGTCTATACCCTTTTGTATTTTCTCCATAGCCCATAAAGAGTAATTTCTGCGATTTTGGATCCCATTTCTTTCTTAATTGATCTGGCACATGCGCCATGGCTTCACAACAAAAAATTTTAAGGTGTGATAAATTGGGCTTCTCCATATTCCAGAGTTCATAGGGAGTTTTTCCATGTTATCCAATCGAAACCGCTAAAAAACAGTATAATCCTAATTGGATTTTTCCATATTTTAAAGTATTGGGAATAGGCAATTAGCAGCTTCCTTTTTTGAATCTTACATTGGAAATGCCCAATTGAATTTAATTGGAAACTACCCATGGAAAGCTATATCTAATCGAAACCAATAAAAACATTAGAATCCTAATTGGACTTTTCCATCATGGAAAATACCAGTAAACACCAATTTCTGTTTTATATCGCGCCCAATTAAATCCTGTAAGTCCAATTCAGACCCATTGATACCAACCAATACCAGGAATTAATCGGTCATTTACAACAGGGAATAATTATATTATTATTATTATATTTAGATCAAATCAGCATTGAAGAATTGGATGTAATTTATAAAATACCGCATTGTGTACCGATTTCCGCTCATCACAAATGGAATTTCGATGACCTATTGGAAAAAATGTGGGAATACCTGAAATTAGTTAGAATGTAAGCAAAATTTTTTCAAAATTTTCGGTGCATTGGATAAATTATTTTTTACATTTTAGCTACACAAAACCAAAAGGACAACTGCCTGATTACAACTCTCCCATTGTACTGCATTCAGAACACACCAATCTTGAAGATTTCTGTAACAAACTCCATCGAACTATTGCTAAGGAATTCAAATAGTAAGTACCAAATAAATGTAATAAAATATCGATAAATATTGGGTTAAGGATTGCTGGTAACATTAAACAACATTTTTAACAGTAACATTCAAAGGAATGATAAAAACCTATAACTTTCTTTAAACCTTTCTTGGACCTGCCTAAAATTCACTTACTGTCTTAAAACCATCTTAAAAAGAACTGTCTAAAATTTTTAAAAATTGAATTAACTGTCTTAAAACTTTAGTAGATTTTGAACTGTGTTAAAGTCTTAAAACTGTTTAAACTTCACTAAGATTGCAACAAAACACATTTTATATTTTAAGTCTTTAAATATTATTAAAAAACCTGTAAAAACCCAATTTAATAATGTAAAAAGAACAATTTAAAAACATTCTCAACATTCTTATCAAGTTTTTCATGACATGCTGATACCACACAGTGTACATGAAAACAAGATCAAACTTCCAAATAACTGTCAAATTGTTCAACGTTTTAGCTATTTTGCTTTACACTTAAATTTAACACAATTTAGTGTTATCGTTATTAATGTTATTTATTAAACTGTAAAACCTTAAAACACAATTTAAGAATGTCAAAAACATAATTTATAATGTTAAAAACATACTAAGGAATCTAAAAACCTATATAAAGAGCATATTTTAGAATGATAATCTTAACTTAATTAAAATATCAAAAAAACAATTTAGAGTGTCAAAACCACATACTTCCACACAGGAAGTATGTGGTCAAAACACAATTTGAAATGTCAAAAATACATTTTTTATGATATAGAACACAATTTAGTTTTAAAGTTATTAATGTTATTTATAAACTGTAAAACCTTAAAACACAATTAAAAACATAATTTAGAATGTTAAAAACACATTTTAGAATCTTAAATATTTTAGAGTGTCAGAAAAACAATTTGAAATGTCAAAAATACATTTTTATGATAACAGAACACAATTTGGTGTTAAAGTTAATAATGTTAATTATAAAACTGTACAATCCTAAAACACAATTTAAGAATGTCAAAAACATTATTTAGAATGTTAATCTTAACTTAACTAAGCACAATTTAGAATGTCAAAAACTTGTTTTAACACAATTTAGTGTTAAGGTAGTTAATGTTATTTATAAAACTGTAAAACCTTAAAACACAATCTAATAATGTCAAAACATAATTTAGAATGTTAAACACATTTTAGAGTGTTAAAAACAGATTAAGGAATCTCAAAACCTATAAAAAGAGCATATTTTAGAATGATAATCTTAAGTTAAGATTCTTAACTTGGTTAAAATATCGAAAAAATATTTTAGAGTGTCAAAACACATTTTTAAAATGATAAAACAATTAATACTAATTTTAATATTTTTCATACGTAAATAAATTAAAATCCAAATAATACTAACACAAGGCTAAAATAATTTTAGGCCAACTCAAAAAAGTCAAGTATTTCTTTTAAACTTTAAACATAACCTGAAAACTGTCAAAAGTGTGTACTTTACGCGTTGTCTACATAGATTACTTAGTTTACATTGTCTACGCGTTGTTTACACCAAAACGTAGACAATCATTATTTACACGTAGATGCCCATCCCTTTAACTTAAAACACATTTGAGAATGTTAAAAACACATTAAGGAATATCAAAATCTATTTAAAAACCATATTTTAAAATGTTTATCATAATATTATATACCTATAATAGGTAATGTTAATTTCGATAACAAAAACATAATTGTTACGTTCTTGATGTACTATGGTCCACACCTCAAAGTCCCACCACGTGACCACGTACGGAACGCAGTGTTTTGAAAATTTGGCATTTAAGGCTTTTCAGGTTATGTATGATACATAATGTATCTGTCAAAGTATAGTCAATGAAAGAATTAATATTTATAGTGTTGCCGCTTATGTTTAAGCTTTAAAAGTTAATAAATCTTTATAGTATCACAATAGCAATGGTTGGTTTAAGAACTTAGGAATATAAATACTGCATTTAATGAAATTGTAAAGTGTATGTTGCCAAATAAGGTATATTTTTGTGCATTGGATCTACATTTCTCCATAAAATAGTTTTAACTAAACCACATTTATTTAAAAAAATCTAACTTTTCTATTATGGAATTATTAGTATATCTGTATTAAAGGTAGGTTAATGTATTAGAACAAAAAATATCATCTAATTTTGTATTTTAAGGTTAGAAAAATCTATTTTGACCAAAATAAATAAGTGGATTATTTGGAAGAGTGTGTTAATATTGTCATAAATAAATATAGGTATACTAAATAATTATTGAATATGGTTCAAATTAAATTGAAGCTTTTATACTTCTAACGACAAAACTTAAAATTTAATACACAAGTAAATAACATTATGATTGAGCTTCAAGAGAGAGAAATCAGGAAAACAAACATTATAATCATTGGTCAGAAAGAAGGCTCGATAGAAGAAGATGAAGATAAAGTAAAAAAAATGGTAACAATAACAGCTTCGAATGAAACTGCCCGGGGAATAAAGAAAATCTTTAGACTAGGAAAGAAAGCTGAAGGCAAAATTAGACCTATTAAAGTGGTTATGATGAACAACTGTCAAGTAAAAGAAGTATTGAAAGGAATAAAAAACTTAAAAGGTGATGACAATTATAAAGGCATATACATTCTCTGATAAAACTCCGATGGAAATGGAACAGTTTCAAAAATTAAACACTACCCTTAAAGCAAGATTACAAAATGGTGAGTCTGATCTAGTAATAAGATATTTCAATAATTCACCAAAAACGTATTGAATTGAACCCAAAATTTAATATTCTATACATTAATATTAGAAGCCTTCGAAACAAAACTGATGACCTAAAATGTTTTATATATGATAAAGATCCTGAGGCAATTGTACTAACAGAGACTTGGTTATATACTGACGAAACTTTCAATCATTCTATCCCAAAATACAATAGTTATCATTCATGTAGAGACCACAGTAGAGGAGGAGGTGTGTCGATCTACATAAAAAGTAAATTTGCATCTGAATCACTGCTCAATGAATGTGTCAATAATAACAATTACCTAATAATCTAGTTACTCAATGAGAAAATCAATATTGGTGGAATATATAATCAGCCCAGCTCATGCAAAAATGCCTTCCTGGAACAGCTCCAGCAGCTAATGGAAACACATAAAAACACATTGTTTATTGGTGACACTAATATTAATGTATTGGAAAACAATAACATAACCTCAGAATATTTCGAAATAATTTCCAGCAATGGCTTCAAGATAATGAACACAATAGATAAGGACTTTCCTACTAGAACTGATTCAAGAACATTAGCTAAATCAATAATAGACCATGTTATTTCAGATAAACTTTTACAATATAACATTATTCTGGAGGACAACTCGATATCAGATCATAAAATAATACAAAGTGACTAGGTGCACGTTAGAGTGCCCGCAATTTATTTTTTACGGGCACGCTAGTGACGTCATAGTAATAATCCGGTTTTGTTCCCCGAACATATAATATTTGTTGTCAAGCTAGATGGCTTAGATGGTAGGGCGTTTGCTTTGCATGCGAGAGGTCCCGGGTTCGATACTCAGAAGTTGTCGAATTTTTTTTACTTTTTTATTTCATAAATTTGTTGTTCCTTTGTTAAAAAGTGTTTTATTTTTATCGTAACATAAATTTGCCCATTTTAGTTGGGTTTTTTGCTCAATGGGGCGGGGGGGCCAATGGGGCGGGCAGTGGCGTAGCTAGGCGTAGGCGAAGTGGGCCCTCGCCCACGGCCTCGCACTTAAAGGGGCCTCGCGAGGCCTCTTGAAATGCGATGCCATCAGACTTCAAATCCCCGTTTATTTTTAAATTAAATAAAAACCTAAAAAATATGTAAATTTAAGATCCTTATATACTAATAATTAATCAATTTTAATCGATTACAATCACAGAAATAGTGATTACAATGGATATTTTAATACGCCACCTATTAGGACTCTAAACAAATACCAAGTTGTGGCCTACAACTTGTAAGTAATGTAGATATCACCATAGATATCACATTTCGCAATTTAAATAACTGTCATTTAATTTGCTGTATGTGTTTTAGAACATTTATGATTGTTCCTTAATTATTATTTAAGTTTAGTTATGTAAGTAAAGTAGAATTAAACAGTTAATCGAATAGTGTGTGCATCATTTGCCAAATAAAAGGGCCACATTTGTTTGGTTTAATAATTTGTCCAGCTTTTCATAAATCCAATCTGTTATTAATAATGCGATTTTCTTTAAATTTGGGTGGTGATTGTATGCTGAAGAAATGAAATATTTGCCATAGTAAGTTTTTTTACTTATCATTGGCGTACGGTTTTAGGGGGTCGATTTTTCGGCAAAAGGATATTAGGGCTTATTTTAGATAAATTTTTTAATCCTATATAGATTGAGCATCCCCAAAAACCCCTTAATCCATATTCTTAAAATCTTAAAGAAATGTTATTTGCTAAATATGATTAAAAAAGTTTTAACCCCCTAACACCGTACGCCAATGATAAATAAAAAATTTTACTATGGAAAATATTAAGTGTCTCCAACATACAATCACCACCCAAATTTAAAGAAAATCGCATTATTAATAAGTTATTAATAATAACTGAGATATAAGGGTGGATTTATGAAAAGCGCGACACACTGTATACAGAGGTTTCAGAATAAGATGCTGAACCTTAAGGGTGTGAATCCTTAGTTGATTTTAAGAAAAAAGTTCAAATAAACCTATGACCTAAACCTCTTAATTTTTAAGTTACAGGGTGTTAAAGTTTTAAGAAAGAAATCGTTTTTTTATCATAACTTTAATAACTTCCTAGATATTTTTATAAAATTTGGCACACGTCTTCTAATCATTAACAGTAAGTTTTTGATTTAGATTTTTTATTTTTTTTACCAGTGGCGTCCGTACAGGATGTGGTCTAGATATATTTGGAAAAATATTATGCACGCCACTGCTATTTTTCAAAATAAAAATTATTTTTTAAATCCACATTTATTTTAGGGCAAATTTGATTTCTTGGCCATTTTTCGTACGACTAACGGTTTTCGCATTAAATGCTTTGTATTTTTTTCATCGGGGGCCTCGCTGATGCGTCTATATTAGTCCACGCTACGCCACTGGGGGCGGGGTCGGTTGGGTTGTGTTGTTGAGTTTGGGTTGGTTTGGTTTTATTACGTAACTAACGTGCCCTTAACATGTATACAGGTACAATTTATTATTATATTATTGTTGTGCCGCCAATTTTAAATTAAGCTGCACGGCAGTGATGACGTTTTTTATCTATTACGTCACTAGCGTGCCCGTAAAAAATAAATTGCGGGCACTCTAACGTGCACCTAGTCACGGCGAAAATAATAACTCTTGAAACTAACCTACAATCAAACCACAATACATGCAAACAAGAATACAACACAAAAATCATAAATTACAGTTCATTAAATGAAAACCTGAAAAAGAGACTGTCACAACTAAGTAATTTGAATTTTAAATTATTAATTTATGTACTGAAAGAAGAAATAGACAATGCAACAACTGTCAAGAAAAGAAAATTTACAAACTAAATCCAAGAAGGTTGGTACACAAAAAAAGTTCATGAACTCGTAAAACAAAGGGATAAAGCTTATGCAAACTACAAAAAAAATCCACTAGAGCAAAACTTACATACAAAATTCAGATCCTTACAAGCGAAGGTGAAGATTATGATAAAAGAAAGCAAACAGAAATATATACAAAAAGGATTTAAAAATAGTGAGGGGTCTCCTGATAAGCAATGGAAAATCATTAAGCAAATTATTACACCAAATAAACAAGTAAAACATGATAACAAAGAGGACATCACTGACAAGAAAGAGATTGCAAATTACTTTAATCATTATTTCATCACAATCTCCCAGAAATTAAAGTGCAATCAAGGAGATCTACATAATATACCAAGCCTCCATACAACATCAATGTACCTACCAAGAACCACCCCAGAAGAAATCAAGAAAATCATAAGTAATCTGAAGAACAATGCATCACCAGGTGGCGATGGGATTAAAACGAAAACTATGAAGAGCATCAAAGATATTATAGCTCCATATATAGCACAATTAATAAATAACCATTTTACACAAGGCACGTTTCCAGAAGAATTGAAAACAGCAAGAGTTACAGTCATTCACAAAACAGGATCAAAATCACAAGCAAACAACTATTGGCCCATATCCGTATTATCAATACTTGCTAAAATATTTGAAGTAGCCTTAAAAACAAGACTGCTTAACTATCTAAAAAATATAAATTTCTTCAATATGCACCAGAATGCATTTTTAAATAAACAAAATACTCAAATAGCAGTAGCTTCCCTATTGGAATATGTATATACAAAGATTGATAATGGACATACAGTAATGGCATGCTTTTTGGATCTTCAAAAAGCATTCGATGTAGTAGATCACAATATTTTGATAAGCAGATTAAAATCTATTGGAATAAAAGGAAACCACTTGAACTTTTCAAAAGTTATCTTACAGATAGAAGGCAGTATACTACGGTAAATGGCATCAAAAGCATCAATGAGGTTACCATCAGTGGAGTGCCGCAAGGAAGTGTATTAGGACCTATTCTTTTCGTGATCTATATAAATCAATTGACCAATATGAAACTTAATGGAAACTTAACACTCTTTGCCGACGATACTGCTCTTTTCTATTCGGGTACAATGCAAAAAATATATGAAGATGCTCAGCAGGACCTGGATACCATCACAGAATGGACAAAGCAAAGTAACATCCGACTTAATGAATCCAAATGCAACTATCTCGTTTTCAACAAGAAATCCCAAGTAACTGATAAATGCTTAACAATCAACAACAGTATACTTAAGGAGATGACTACTGCAAAGTACCTAGGTTTGATATTAGACAACAAATTACTGTTTGACAAACATGTAGAAAGCATACGGAGCAAAATAAATAAATTGATCTATCCCCTATATCATTCAGCCAAATTTTTCAATCAAGTAACGAAATTCAAAATATACTCTGCCTATGTTCACTCAGTTATGTCATACTTGGACGTCTTTCTGCAGAAAGGAACCAACCCACAAAACCAAAAAAATCGAGATATTTAGCCTATGAACTAATTAAGTATGTATAATTTATCTGCAAAATAGGTCATAGCCAAAATGCAAGTGTAGTGAAATCTATTAATCATTGAACCAACCAACATTCAATAATAGTGTGGATTACTAATCCAGAATTAGAATCTGTAGAATATCTGCAAGTGGGTTGGATCTTTTTCGTAAAAAAGCAGGCTGGTAGACCCACTACCAAAGTCTTTAAAGATTTCCTGCTTCTGCAAAATATAAAGTCTTGATGCATTTTTTTGGTAGCTTACAAGATGAGGTGGGGTTGGAAGATGATGTGGACGAATTTCAAATAGAATCAAAATTAATTCATATTACCATTATAATAGTAATATCAGTTGTATTTTGTTTGGAAATAAATAATTGTCGCTTTTCTTTAAATACATACATACATCAGATAGTAGTTTTCATAAATTGCAGGAAGGAACCAACCAACAAAAGTCCATTTTTTTCGTCACCCTTACACATATTATCACAAAATCCACCTGATGAAATTATTAAATTATATCCCTTAAACCTCTGTAAGTCCAAAATCGGCATAAAATTAACAGGTAATTTTAAAATTATTAAAATCTTTGATAGCTTTTTTCTCAGTTTCATCATGGTGTGGGTTGGTCCCATTCTGCAGAAAGCCGTCCACTTAGCAGCATTTTGGGGACAAACCAGAAAACAGGATATCGAAAAACTACAAGTTACCCAGAACAGATTCATAAAAGTGTTGTTTTGTAAACCTATGTGTTATGGAACTAATGAGCTGTATAGCGAACTAAATCTTCTTAAAGTGTGTGATATTGTCAAATTAGAAAGTCTTAAACTTGTACATAAAATAAAAAATAATATATTAGAGACTGACATAACATTGGTGCAAAACTGTGATATTCACCATTACAATACTCGCACAAACCAAAACTTTTATATTTTACCAAGTGCAAAAAACATTGAAAAGAAGGGAGTAACTACTACGGCTGTGCAATGGTACAATGAAGTCCCAAATAGTTTTAAGGACTTAGATGTTATAAACTTTAACAGAGCTATAAAAAATTATTTATTATCTAGAAATAACACACTTTAATTTATTTTGTATATATTGTATATTTATAATATTTTGTTAAACACAAAAAGCCTTATTTTATTTTATATTTATGTTAACCTGTTATGAACGTTTGTTTTTTTGGGTTCAATAAATACATTAAAAAAAAATACTCCCATGACATGTGATTTATTAAAATTTTTAAAGTAATAATGATTTTTCGATGTAGATCAAATTCAATTGAAGCTTTATAACTATTTGTATTTACAAAACTTTATGTAGGTACACTTTAAGCTGGATTATAAAAACTACCAAATTTTTAAATACCATATTATACAGTCTTTCAATTAATCCAAAATACTTATTTATTTTGGTCAAAATTACAAAATTAGATGATATTTTTGTTATAATATATTAACCTACCTTTAATACAGATATACTTATTCCATAATAGAGAAGTTAGATTTTTTTTTAATAAATGCTGTTTAGTTAAAATAATTTTATGGAGAAAACCAGATATTTGGACCAAATGCACAAAAATATTACTTATTTGGCACCATACACTTTAGAATTTTATTAAATGCAGTATTTATATTCCTAATTTCTTAAACCAACCATTGTTATTGTAATGTTATAAAGATTTATACATTTTTAAAGCCTAAAGATATTATTTCTTTCGTTGACTATACTTTGACAGATACATAACCTGAAAAGCATTAAATGCCAAATTTTCAAAAGACTGCGTTCCGTGGTGGGACTTTGAGGTGTGGAGCATAGTACGAGTAAATTTAGAATAAAACTTTATCTTTTTTTCTAGTGCTCTTGTATGGGGGTCGTCAGTGAAACATCAGCCCCAAAAAGTAGGATTGGAACATGTTTTAGCCGATGAAGACGTCGTCCAAATTGTGAAAAAAGTGTGAAACTCAACATAAAAAACATGACACTAAATTTGAAACACCAACCGTTAATATGTTGATTAATTTTAAGAATAAACCATGTAAACTTACAGTAACGTTTATTATTTAATTAATTGGAACAATTTGTTATTAACATGGAAACATTTGTTGCTTAATGGGTTAAAATTGATGGGGGTTCTCGTTATTCTGGTCTAAAGAGTAGAAGAAACGGTTTAGCATGTATCTATCCCCAGGATTAAAACTTAGAGGGGGTACCATAACATCAGGATTCAAATTTTGAGTGATGTTGGGGTTAAAACTTCTCGAGTAGTTCATATCCTCGCCATAATTGTTCTTATTTTGGCAAAAATTTGTCGTACTTTGGTTAAAATTCGGATTTTGAGTAAAACTTTGGTTTAAATTTTGGCTGTAAGTGCGGCTTTGGTTAAAAGTCTCCTTTGGAATGGTATAGAAAGGTTGTGGAATTGGGGGTGGCACAGGGTAGTAATTTGGAGCCATTGCTTGGTAAGTATTGTAATTCTGACTAGTTTGAGTGTAGGGCAAACTCAAATATGGCGGTACTGGCATTTCCTGAGAATAAAAATTTCTGTTGGGCATTGTTTGAGGTTGTGAAACGACTCTTTGTTGATATTTCGCCATTTCTGTGCTACGTAGATATTGTTCTTCCATCTCATCCAACATTTTTCTGTAATTACTTATCATAGTTGGATAGTCTTCACTGGGAACTACTTGTGAAGGTTCAATTTTTAAAATCTGAGGTATTTGGGGGGTAAATTCATTACATTGTACTATTTGAGGGGTAAATTCATTGGATTGTACAATTTGAGGTGTAAATTCTTTAACTTGAGGAGTTGATTTTGCCTTTTGAGGTGTCGTTTCATCAACTTTTGAACTCTGAGGAGGGAAGTTGGATTTTTGAGTTAAAGGAGACTTTTCTTTACTTCTGGGGTTAAACTCCAAAGCTTTCTGAGAAATTACAAACTCCTCCTTCTTGCTCTCGACCTTCTTCAACTGACTTTTGACGTGAATCTGCGAGTTGTAGGCGCTAGCTGAAGGTATATTTTGAGTTTTTTGAGGTTTGGTTTTCAGGCCTAGGTTTTCAATGAAGGATTGCGAACAAATGTCGGAAATGTCGTCGGGAATTATGGAATTTGTTGATGTGTTTGGGGTTTCATTTCCGTAATGTTTGTCTCCCAATGGGAACGACGCGACGCTTTTTTTAGGGGTTGATTTTGGCCAAGTTTTGTATCTGGGGTGGTTCAAATAAGAGTGGGTTGAGGTTTCGGATTTTAGGGATTGGTTTCTAAAAAAAATATTGTTTACTGCAGCTGTAGACATGTCTAGACATGTTTAACACAATGTCCCTATAAAAAGTTTTTTCACATTATTCTTGTTGGTTATGTTCTCTATTTTAGTCATAGATGACCGAAGGTATTTTAGTTTTTTAATGACAAATTCAAATTCTAAAAAATTGTTGAAATAAATATGACAAAATGACATTTTATTGTCTTGTTATTTTTAGAATCCGAATTAGTTTTGATGAGATCTTAAAAAACTAAATAATACAATAGAAAACATGAGCAAAAAAAATAGTAGGCATTTTAAAATTCTAGGTTTTGACCTAAAATATTTAGAACAAGCTAGAGTGTCAAAACCATGTTTAGGAATTTCAAAAATACATTATAATTATCTGTATTTTTATATAAAAATAGGAAATTTTTAATAAATTGTTTCTAAAACTTTTAAGAATATATCTATAAAACGTAACGTGATAAGACAAATCCCGCTTAATGTCAAACCAAAAATTATTTTAAGGAAAAAAGAGTGACGTAACAAAAAATCATATCACACAAGAAATTATTAAAAAAATATATACACTGGCGGCAACAATTAGGGGATATTGGTAAATTTCAAGTATCCAATATTTTGCTCATGGTTGTAATACTATAATTTAAACCAACCTTATAAATGTGTATTATACACAAACAATTATTATGCTTTCTTTATTCATGCAGCAAAAAATATTTTTTTTATTCTAAGCAAATTCTCATGTTTTTTTATTTCAGTAGTAAACATCGTTTTGTTCACTTTAAACGTGTTTAATAATCATTAATTATAATTAATTATTTTAAATTTACAATGCCCTTAAGACATTTAATACCTGCCGACGCAAATAGAGCCCTTGGAATGTTACAAGCAGGTATGCGTCAAGTGGATGTTGCTCAGCAGCTAGGAACGTCCCAAAGTGTTATTAGCAGACTCTGGAGAAGATTCACTGATACCGGATCGACAGCTAGAAGACGTGGACAGGGCCGTAGAAGAAGTACGACCCGACGACAAGACCGGTATCTCGAATTAACAGTTCGACGGAACCCCACAATTTCGGCAACTCAACTTCGGCAGCAACTTCAAGACGCCGCTGGAGCCCTTGTGTCAGTGAGAACTGTAAGAAATCGTTTATATGGCTTTGGATTGAGGGCTCGACGGCCATTTAGAGGTGTATCTCTTACACAAAGGCACAGGAGGCAGCGTCAACAGTGGGCTCGTCAAAGAAGAAACTGGGATGTAGAGTGGAATTCTGTGCTGTTCTCTGATGAGTCGCGTTTTGGTCTACACAGTGACTCAAGACGCATTCGAGTATGGAGGAATAATAGAACAGCCAGGCACAGAAGTTACGTGCAGGAAATCTATCCCTTTAGAGGTGGCACTGTAATGGTTTGGGCAGGAATCGCATTGGGGCGCCGTACACGACTTTATGTTTGTGAAAATAATATGACGGGAGTAGTGTATGCGCGTGACATTATTCAGAACATTGTAGCGCCAATTCGTCAAGACGTTGGAGAAAATTTCATGTTTTTAGACGACAATGCTCCTCCCCACAGAACGCTTGAGGTACGAAGAGCGTTACAAAACTTGGAGATTGAACATGTTATGCTGCCTGCTCACTCTCCTGACCTGAATCCAATTGAACATGCATGGGATATGCTCCAGAGAGCACTAAATGACCACAATCCTCCACCTCAAACAAGGAATGATTTAAGGAGAATTTTACCACAATTATGGGAAAATCTTCCTCAGGATCAGTTAGATAACTTAATTCTTAGCATGCCAAGAAGAGTAGCTGAAGTATTGGAAGTGCACGGATCTCACACACATTATTAATGTTTAATATTTAATGCTCAATGTTTACATAAAAATAATATTAATTTTTTTACAGCAAAATTAAAATATTCCTTTGTTAAAATTTTTGTTTTTATTTCTTAAAAACCCCGAATTATTATAATATATCAAATTTAATAAGCCCCATAAATGATTAATATAAAATATTGTAATATCCTCTAATTTTTGCCGCCAGTGTATTTCCTGTTTATTTATAGAAAAATAAAGACATTTTTCATAAATGGAAAATATCAATAAAAACGTGACAAGACAAGTTCCAGATAATATAAAAATTGTCAAAAATAATTTAAAAGAAAACAAAAATTATTTTAAGAAGAAAAGCGCTTCGTAACAAAAAATCATATCATACAAGTCAAAAACCATTGAAATTATCTATTAACTATTATAACTAAAAATAATAAATTTTTAATAAATTAAGAATATCACACAAACACAAAAAAATTGTACCAAATATTACTAAAAATAAAGTCATTTTTAATAAATTGAAAATTTCAAAAAAACAAGGCAATTTCCGGATAATAATAAAATTGTCAAAAATAATTTAAGGAAAAAACAAAAACTATTTTTAGAAGAAAAGCGTGTCGTAACAAAAAATCATATCATATAAGTCAAAAACCATAAAAATTAACTGTAATAAAACCCAACAAAACTACCAAATATTACTAAAAATAAAGACATTTTTAATAACTTGATATAAAAACAACTTGACGTGGCAAGACAAGTTCCGGATAATATAAAAAAATCGAAAATAATTTAAGAAAAAAAAAATTATTTTTAGAAAATCGAGACGTAACAAAAAATCATCATACAAGTAAAAAACCATTGAAATTAACTTTTATAAAACACACAAAGATTTTACCAAAAATTACTAAAAATAAAGAAGTTTTTAATAAATTAAAAATATAAAAAAAACGTGACGTGACAAGACAAGGTCCGGATAATATAAAAATAGTCAAAAAAAATTAAGAAAAGAACAAAAATTATTTTAAGAAGAAAAGCTTGTCGTTACAAAAAATCATATCATACAATTCAAAACCATTGAAATTAACTTATATAAAACACAAAAATATTGTGGCAAATATTACTAAAAATAAAGACATTTTTAATAAATAGAAAATATCAAAAAAACGCGTGACGTGACAATACAAGTTCTGGACAATATAAAAATTGTCAAAAATAATATAAGAAACAAAAAATCATTCAAGTCAAAAACATTGAAATTAACTTTTATAAAACACAACAAATTGTACCAAATAGGTATTACTAAAAATAAAGACATTTTTAATGAATTGAAAGTATGAAAAAACGTGACGTGACAAGACAAGTTCGGTCAAAAATAATTTAAGAAAAAAACAAAAATTATTTTAGGAAGAAAAGCCTGTCGTAACAAAAATCATATCACACAAGTCAAAAACCATTGAAATTAACTTTAATAAAACACAAAAAAATTGTACCAAATATTACTAAAAATAAAAACATTTTTAATAAATTGACGTGACAATCTAAGTTCTGGATAATACCTATAAAAATTTTCAAAAACAATTTAAGAAAAAAATAAAAATTATTTGTAGAATAGCGTGACGTAATATAACAAAAAATCATATCATACAAGTCAAAAACCATTGAAATTAACTATTACTGTCAAATTGACAGTAACAGTCCTAAAGTTGTAAAAAGAAGTTAATTGAAAAATGTGGTTATGTTCAAAGAGAATTTATTTTGACAGAATGTCAATTTTGGCACATAAATGACAATCTGTCAATCCAACAAAGTGCTCTTTAAACATAACGACATTTTTAATATTTAAGGATAATTCGACATCCCGTATAATAAAAAAACTTACAGATCAACTTGATTTCGACTGTCGTTGAAACCTTTGTGGATTTTCGGCGAGAACTTCGTAGGCGGACTGAAAACTAGCGGCGAACTCCACGTAATACATTTCGGCGCGTTATTTTCGCCCAATTTCCGTCTTTTTGCCGGCGAAAATGAGCCGCCGAAACCGGCATTCACCGTGGAATCCGGCGTATTTTCGCTGGTGTTTGCATTTAAGTGCGATAATTTACTTTTTCTGGGCGCGTAGCGGTATTCTTGCAAATTAACGGCGCTGCTGTCGTTTTCTTCGTTCTGAAAATTACCGTTAGATTTAAACGAAATAATTACGAAGTTGTGTGTTTTACGGATTCACCTCGTACATTTCCATGTATTCATATATGTTCATGGTGTTTCTGTTGTTGGGTTTTATTTTTCTATTGTTGTAATACATTTTTTAACGACAATTAACTTGTGTACTTGTACTTCGTGTAGGTATTAGTTTTAAGACTGACGTTTTTAACTGTCAAATTTGTTTTCAAGGCTATCTGGGATTTTGATAGTAGGTTTAGTGAAAAATGTTTTTTTTATTAAAGTTTTTTTAAGTGCTGCTAGACGAAAAAATTTTCTACGAGGGTTTAAGGGTGTTTTGTTGGTAAAAATAAAAGTTCTACAGATGCGGTGAAATTTAACATAATAAATGAGACAGGTGGACTACAATTTCATTGAAATCTATGGCACGCCATTTTAGCATTTATTAGATAATAGTTTAGAATAGTTTAGCACTTTAATGATGTTTTAACTGAAATTTACAAAGTTGAATTGTTTTAAACTCAAAACTATTGATAACATTTTTTTAATATTTAAATATAAAATACAACAGTTAGGTAAGTAACTGTTGTATTTTATATTTACAGTACTGTAACTTTAAGCTTAAAAATATGGATTTTTCAAAATTACTGACTCAAGCCACGTGAAGTGGGACCAGAAATTTTCACGAAATCACCGATTTTGAAAATAATCACATAATTGTGTAGTAGGCATGACCCATATGTCACAGTAAAAAAATTGTTTGGAAATTCAGTTTTTTGTTAATGCTATTTGAGTTCATAATTTTGTCAAATTTAAGAGCACGGTAAAATTTAAAAAAATAGAATCTCTTGGACCACTCTGTATAATTGAATTAAATTTTACACACTATTGTAGAATTGTCATTTAATTAAGGAATTTTGCATACATTTATTATAAACAATTGAAATTTTGTATGTGTTCTTCACGCTGAAAAAAAATTAATCTTGTGTCATAATATGCTGCAAACATTCCCGTTTAATAAAATGTACTTAAAAATTTGTCCTTTATATCTCATTCCGGAGATATTAAATTTTTTGTCCCACTGTGCGTTCGATCAGTACGCGGCGCGCTTCGCTGCTAGCTCGACGTGGTACAAATCTGGACGCGTTCTAACGGAAAGCTGTGCTAACGAGCTAGCAGCGAAGCGCGCTGCATACTGCTCAAGCGCACAGCGAGAGAAAAAAATTAATATCTCCGGAATGACCTATGAAGGACAAATTTTTGAGTACATTTTATTAAAGGGGAACGTTTTCCGCATATTATGACACAAGATTAATTTTTTTTCAGCGTGAAGAACACATAGAAAATTTCAATTGTTATAATAAATGTATGCAAAATTCTTGTATTTAAACAAATTTACCTTAATTAAATAACAATTCATTAGTCTAAACATTGCTACAATAGTGTGTAAAATTTAATTCAATTATACAGAGTGGTCCCAGAGATTCTATTTTTTCAATTTTACCATGCTCTAAAGTTTGACAAAATTATTAACTTTAATAACATTACTAAAAAAGCGAATTTCAAAACAATTTTTTTACTGTGACATGCCTACTACACAATAATGTGATTATTTTTAAAATCGGTGATTTCGTGAAATTTTCTGGTCCCACTTGACGTGGCTTGACTCTACTGTAACTTTAAGCTTAAAAATATGGATTTTTAAAATTTTTTGTCTATAAACACTATTTTAGATACGAGTTTTATTAGGCACGACCGAAGCTTGCAAGCGAGTGTTTAATACAAACGAGTGCCTAAACGAGTTGCATAGGTACTATACTTTATCTACGACGAAAAGAAATAAAAATGTAAAGCCATTTTTAATTTATAAATATTTGATGAATTTAACCTTACTTTTTCGAAATTCAGGTAATGTTAAGACCCCTAATAAAACTATTCTATAGAATCCTATAGGAATGTACCCTTTGGGACATTGTGTGGTCCGTGGGTTTATTTTATAGCTTTTTTTGAGATTGAAACTGCTTTCGGCAAATTTTATAAAAGGAATCTTTATAAACCACCCTAATAAAATAAAAATACTTTAGCCGACAAAAGGGGCAGGCAGAGAAATGGTGGTGGAAACAGAGGTTTCCTTTTTAAAAATCGGCCGTAGCTAAAATAGAGTTTGTCAAGAATTAAGAGAGTAAAGTCGATTCATAAAAATGCATATATTTAGTTAAATAAATCTAAATTAGTTATATAAAAAAACAGTTTATTCCATTACAAATTGTGACCCTATAGGGTTATAACAGTATAATAAAGCTGACTTCAGCCCGTGACTAAAATGCCCAAAAGCTACTGTTTTTATAAGAGTCACGGGCTGAAATTATAACTTCAGCCCGTGACTAATACGCCATAAAGTCACAGCTTGTCAATGTAGGAGTAGAAAATAGTAATTTATGTATCAAGTTTTATAAACGCCATTTTACTTACGAGTTTTATTATGCACAAGCGAAGCTTGCGAGCGAGTGTTTAATGAAAACGAGTGTCTAGAGAAGTTTATAAAAATAGTTGCATACTATACTTTATCTACGACGAACACAAAGAAAACTTTGAGGTCAATTTTATTTGTTTAACATTTGACATCTGTTAAGTGGCAACGGATTTAACCCCACTTTTTCCAAACTTATAATAAAGCTAACTTCAGCCCGTGACTAAAATGGCAAAAAAAGCCACTGTTGCTAACTTCAGCCCATGATTAAAACGCCGTATAGTAGATAATAGTATATTATGTATGAAGTTTGATAAACGCCATTTTATACACGAATTTAATTTAGGCATGAGCGAGCTTGCGAGCGAGTTCTTAAATTAATGAGTGTATAGAAAAGTTTATAAACGAGGTGCATACTATAATTTTTCTACGACAAATATTTATTATTATCTTAAAGTGATTTAAATCAAATATTTTTATAGAGCGCCACCTATGAAACAATAGGGGAATCTGTGTGTCACCGTCAAATGTCAAATTTTTATATTTTATAAACACAGATTATAAAGGTTATAAATCGAAATCTATTTCTTGAAAATGGACAGTTTTTTTACAGTGAAAGTAAAGAAAATGTTTTATGAGTCCGTGCCCGAATTTAAGTTATAGATTTCTGCCGGCGAAATTAAAAGGTCAGTACAATGTTCATATAAACTTTTTAAATATTGGCGTTGAGAAACTATTTAATACTTTTGTATTTTTGTATTAAGATAATAAAATAATTTTCACATTTAGTATTAAAAGTAAAAAAAGTAAAGTAGTGTAGTAACGCCATTAACCTATCCAGCTTACAGGCAAAGCCTATAAGGTTCGGTTCTTCAGCGGGACCTACTGTCCTACCCGAGTATTATTTTACAAGAAAGGCACTTTATTTTAACGATTGTATGACATTTGACAACTGTCAACTATCTTAAACTAACTTCAGCCCGTGACTAAAGACCTGTTGCTAACTTCAGCCCGTGACTAAAACGCCGTAAAGCCACAACTTGTCAATGTGTATTTAAAAGGTCACTTAGTGTCATGGAAACATGTACGATAATGGTCGTTTTAAAGGTGGGAGTGGAAAATAGTATATTATGTATCAAGTTTTATAAACGCAATTTTAGTTACGAGTTTAATTAAAGCTTGCGAGCGAGTGTTTAATAAAAACGAGTGTTTATAGAAGTTTATAAATGAGTTGCATACTATACTTTATCTACGACGAACACAAAACAGAATTTAAAGCCAATTTTATTTGTTAAAATTTTGACATCTGTCAACTGTCACCCGAATTTTACCTCACTTTTTCCCAATTTATAATAAAGCTAACTTCAGGCCGTGACGTAAAATGTCGAAAAGCCACTGTTGTTAACTTCAGCCCGTCAATAAAACGCCATAAAGTCACAGCTCGTCAATGTAGGAGTAGATAAAATATTTTATTCTACAAAGTTTTCGGTTTAAATTTGTAAAGAGTCATTTAAAAGAAGTTTTAAGCATAGTCCCTTAGGGAACATCCATTACGTGAGGCATTTTTCTGATAATTTGGACCCCGGGGGCCCCCTCCCTTGGTGAGATTTGGTGAGATATATAAGACCCCCCCCTATCCCTCACGTGAGATTGTAGCCATTAAACTCTCTTTGCGGACAACATGTAAAAAAATGAATATTTTTTTTAACAAATTTAAATTAGGTATAATACAATTTTTTTAAACTCAAAAGTTGACGTGAGATTTTTAATGTATATACTAGGGTGATTCATTTCCGCAAAGTTTTTTTTTTCGGTGCTCAAGCAAAATATTAATCTACCTATAGAAAAAAAAAATTTCACCAAGGTAGAGCTCTTAATATCAATTTTAAGTACTTGCAGTTTAAATTTAAAGTTTTCCCATTTAAAATGCATGTAAAAAAATGTTTTTTTTTTTCAAATTTCTAATGCTCGCCCGCTTTTTACAATATTGTGAATCGGTTTTATGGACCTTATAGGGAATTTCACGCTTTTCAAAATTGTCTTTGTGTTTTTTTGTGTAACTCGTAGTGGTTCGCCAGTAGGAGTCATCAAAGTTCAATTTTTTGAATGAACATTTTTTTTTGATTTTTTTTAACAATTCGCAAAAAATAGTGAAAAAAAAGAGCTGAATAGTAAAAAATAGTCTTTTAACAAATATTTGATGAATTTACGGCCATTTTTATATCTTAAAACGTAAGTAATTGATAAATATTAACCAATTATAATTATGCTATTTAAATTAAACTTTCTTATTTACTATCGATATAATTCTCTACAACAATAACTTTTTCAGAGTTATTATGATTTCTGACTAAAAATAAATATAAACATAACACATACGAAAGCGTAGAGCTGCCATGTCAATATTAAAAAATATATTTGGGAGAATTTACACTTTTTCTGTAAATTTACACTTTTTCTGTAAATTTACACTTTTTCTGTCTATTTACAATTTGTTCTGCACAAGTTACTACCCAGCAATACGTTATTCAGT